AAAGAAAGTGGTCCAGGAGACAGTCAGGGCAATAAGAAAAACAGGGTGCATCACCCCAAGTGTGCACTTTGACCGTACTTTCATTAAAAGATTGAAAGAACCTTTCATAAGAAGATAGTGTCAGAAGGTCTGGACTTTTGCTCTTGTCAACCTTTCTACATGGTGTGTAACCCAAAATTTAATCCAGTATTCTGATGGAGATCGTTATGTGCACAGTCTGTTTCCCCACCCCAGCTCCAAAAGAACCTTGTGTTCCAAGGGGGGGGGAGGCTTATGCAAAGTGGGCTCCCTCCATTTAAATACTGAGTGGAAATTTCCAACCGTATGGTACCAGGGAAAGCATGAAACCACACCCCCAAAATCTGCCTGTAACCAACTTTAAATTCACCTTAAGAGGATGATGTCTGACAACTTTTGCCATGAGTTTTTGGGACATTGATTTATAATTTTAATGCACTACCCATAAGTTACTGGTGCATGTCTGAGGAAAGGTTCTTTAATCCATGGAAGCTTGCACTAATTGATTTTTAGTGGTCTAATAAAGGTGCCACAGAAGGGACGTGGTGGTGCTGTGGGTTAAATTGCAGAAGCCTCTGTACTGCAAGGTCAGAAGACCTGCAGTCGTAAGATCAAATCCACGCAACGGAGTGAGCCCTCATTGCTTGCCCCAGCACCTGCCAACATAGAAGTTCGTAAACATGCAAAATGCGAGTAAATAGGTACCACCCCGGTGGGAAGGTAATGGCGTTCCGTATCTAGTTGCGCTAGCCATATGACCACGGAAGATTGTCTTCGGACAAACACTGGCTCTATGGGTTGGAAACGGAGATGAGCACCGCCCCCTAGAGTCGGACACGACTAGACAAACTGTCAAGGGGAACCTTTACCTTTACCTAAAGGTGTCATATTATTCTAGATTTCTATAGTGTGACTAATGGTGACCAATGCTTTGATCTGCATTTGAGAACATCTGGAAGGCACCACATGGCAGTAAGGTAATCTGCAGTAAACACATGACCTTTGCTGTAAAGATTCAGTGAACACTGCATATAGAAGAAAGATCCTACTGAAGACTTGCAATTTCGGATAAACCTGCTAGGAAAAACTTCCTACCCACTGTCCTCAGACTGAAGAAGGTACATGGATGAGTAGTGAAAGGTTTCAACCTAATGAGAAAGAAGTCCAGTTGCCATGACTCAACTTCCACATCACTTCACCTGGATGACAGAGAATCTTCACAGATATTTTTCCATGGATAGATTTAGAGACCAGTGTGCTCAGAACTTGCAGGAGTCCTCATATCATTTGAGCTGTGTTAATTTAGCATCCCAGCCCCCTTTGCCACCCAAAAAAAAGCTTATATCATATGCAAATACTCCAGACATCTTTGGGTAAGGTGTTCTAAAAATATTCTCCATTTTATTTTAAATATGTCACACACAAATCACACCAGGGTAGAACTGCAGTGCTAGCCATAGCTCCCATGATATATCTCAAAGGTCAAAGTAGATTCCAACTAAACATTACATTTGGAAGAACTTCCTGACAGTGGAACATATGCCATTGTTCTCTAGCTGTGGATTTCTCCATTTGTAGGTGGCTGGACCTGGAGTACCTCTCAAATCTACAGTTCTGTGATGTAAATAGGGTTTCAGAACCAATATGCATATCCATGAGCTGTAGCAGTACAGATCAACAATCCTATCAAAAGCAGTTTGATTATTCTGGAGCTAGTAAATTCAACTTTAGCTGTGGAGAACAGGAGCAGAGAACGATCAAGAAAAGACAACCAACAATTACAAATTAGCTATGAATGTAGTCTCTCTTAAAAGATGCCAGGGAGCCTTTACCACCTACATGAATCACAGTTCTCTAAATATACACAACCCACAAGCACTTGTCAGTTTTCTCTCCTTTCAGCAAAAACTATGGTAAGAAGGATACACTGTATCAATCAGGTTGAATAGCTTCTTAATTGCTAATAACTACAATTGTTAATAATGATCTAGATTTAAATCAAATACTAGAGGGGAGAATGAAAAGATACTCGAAGACATAGCTTAGACTGCAATACACAACTTTGAATCAAATCCTAATTTCGAGGATTGTTCTGTTAAAACACCGTGCTGACAAACCTTTTTTAAAAAGCTTTTGAAATGTATGTAGCAAAAGGTCTCAATTTCCCAGTGTTGGAGGATCTCTTACAATCTTAACTACAAATGAATTTTCAGCCAGTACAATCATCTCAAGGTAGAATATGTTCATTTACTCACATGTGTACAGCTTATGTATACTTGTGATTTTGGTATTGCATCATTTGCAAATATCACAACCTGGTTTTACTCATACTGCCATGACACAGTAGATACAGAAACATGACAATAAATAAGTTAATCTACCTTCCTGCCAATGTGTTTGTAAATATGACAGAATAGGTAATCATACCTACGGAGAAAACAGTGGTAAACCACTCCTTGATTATCTCGCATACCTCAGAAACCCTGTTAGGACCACCATAAGTGAAAAACAACTTGACGGCACATAATACCAACAAAATACTGTATAATGCAAAGAACATTCCTGGAGAAAGACCACATAATGAACACAGTTACTTAACTGACTACAAACTAGAAGATATGTTGGTTGAAACCACAGAAATACTGCATTATTGAGAATGCAAAAACTTTGGTGGATGATGAACGAACTATTAAAATGACAGAAGAGACTGCAGAAGATCATGGACACTGGGTCAGAACTCAAAACACAAATTTTCAGCAACTGTCATACAAGAACAAAGAGACCTATTACAGTGGTCATTACAAAGATATAAAAGACTACAAAAAAGAAAAACAAGAGATCACTTCACTTCAAAGAGAGCCAAGAAATAAAAGGGATATTTAAACAAGAATTGGGAACGCTGAAAAATCTAGAGGTGAATATATCATCTCATCAGGATAAAACAAAGAGAAGATGGAAACAATATACTGAAGAATGATATAGAAGAAAAGCAAGTGTAGCATTCCTTCAAAGAGGAATTGTTGATGATAAATCTGCAATTTTAGAAAGTGAAGTAAAAGCTTCTTTCAAAAAAGTGGGAAAAACGTAGATGGAATAGTAATAGAAATATTTCAAGCTGGTTGTTGTTTAGTCGTGTCCGATTCTTCGTGACCCCATGGACCAAATATTTCAAGCCACAAAGACTGAAAATCCTAACAAGAACATGACAACAAATATGGCAATCAAAACCATGGCCAAAAAAAGGGAAATGATGAATGAACAAAGAAAGGAGACACCAAAGAGTGCTCCTAACAAGAATATGCCAACAAATATGGCAATCAAAACAATGGCCAAAAAAGGGAAATGTTGAACATACAAAGAAAGGAGACATCAAAGAGTGCTGTAACTATAGGACATTTGAATTAATTTCAAATTAATTCCTGAGTAAGTAAAATGATACTCAGGGTATGGTAACAATCTCCAAGTTGGATTCAAAAAAGGAAGAGGCACTGGAAATCAAATATACATTAGATATTGGCATGTACAGAGGAATTACAACTGCAGAAGAGTTGCTAAGTTTAATGCTGAAAAAAAACACCCAAATATTAAAGATCTTCTGTACCTTGATTCAATCAATAGTCAAAACGGAAACTGGACAAGTCAGAGCAAGATCTTTTAGGGTAAGGAACAGAGAGGAACTATAGAATTCTTAAGTGTAATGACCAAGACCAAAATCATCCATATTATGGTCTCCTTGATTACGATGCAGATACGAAAGTTGGGCAGTGAAGAAAGCCATCTGGAAAAATGATTAATTAATTCAGAATACATTTTGATATTGTAGACTACCAGAAAGACAATGGTGTCTTGATAAAATAAAGCCTGAACTCTCACTAGAAACAAGAGTGACTAAATTAAGTCTCTTATACTTTAGACATAGCCTAAGAAAGCAACTCTGTCTATAGAAGAATGTAATGCTAGGCAACCTGGAAGGCATTACTAGAAGGTGAAGACCTAGGTAAAAAAACACCCACCAATAAAAGAAGCCATTGCTTTTAGTTTTCAAGCAGGATTTTTAATAATGGTCTTTCACAGGTCATTAATTCAGAGGATCACGGTATGAATTAGGGTTGGAAATAACTTGCACATAACAAAAATCTGCATTAGTGATATTTAGGAGGAAAAAGGTTTAACTGACCCCACTTTCTTCTGCCTTGTTTGCTGTCAGTGATGCTGAGTTATTAGTGGGATCTTGGCAAAGTTTAACCCCAGATAAGGCGAGTTCGTGGGGAGCCTACTGTTGCAAATGCCAGACTGCTCAAATCTACATACAGGGCACACACAACAGCCTCCACAGGTCTCACCTTTAAACGAGCCTTCAGGACCCATATTTCTCCTGTATGTATAGTTTCAAACTGCATCAAAGGTTTCCGATCTAAGGTCGCAGACTTCTAAACGCCCTCTGGAAGCTTGCAAAACACACCCAACCCCCCCACACACACACACACACAAAAGCAACTCCCGTGCACTCCCTGGGGCATCCCCACCCTACTTTACTTCCCTACCTCGCCACCGCGAAGGGGGATTAAAGGTTTTAACTTTATCTACAGATTTTTTTTTTTAATGGAGATGGGCGAGAGGAGGAGAGAACCTGATCGTTCCTCTTGAGGTTCTTAAGGGGTGCCTCATTCATTCATGCTAAACGCCACCTCCCCGCCGCCGCCCGAGCGTGTGCACGCTTAAGATAGAAAAGTTGCCAGGAAACTTGCCCGCGGTCCTGAAACGAGTCGAAGCGAGCCCCCGCAGGCACGGCGCTTTAATGGGATTAATTAAACCACTCACACCCGAGGTTCCCCCCCTCCCCGCACACACACACATACACACACACTCGGCCTCCCGCTCCCAGGGGGTGTCTGGTTCTCTCTCTTCTCCGGGAGACACCACAAACGCCTCCTCGCCTTCCCGGACCCACCTCCCGCTCCTCCTCTGAGGTTTCGCCTCACCTCAGGGCGCGCCGAGCGGGAT